ACATCGCCCCCACATGCAAAGGTAGCAATGAAAGAGACCAGATATGGCTTTCGCCCGAGGCATTGCAGCTCCTGCGAGGCCTGTGGTTAGAAGATGTCTTTGTAGACCACTCTACCTTGGCTGTGCAACTCATGGTTCCAACCCGAAGTATGGTGGTGCACAAGTGGCCCAGGCCAGCACGACTGCCTTGGTCGGATATAGACCAGCAGAACTGGAACCCCACATGTTCTGTGCAGTTCAATGCTGGCAATGACCCCACCAAGTTTTTGCAATGTTGGGCCATGGACTTTGAGAATGCGGTTTTTCAACATGCTGCTGAAGTTTCAGACCAAGCTCTACCACCACGATGTCGGGGGAGGGCACAGAGATTGAAGCCACTTCGCCAAGAGCTTTGCACACCAACCAGCAAACCTAGCCGTGAAGGTGAAGTACGGGCTCAAAACTCAGCAGCTGGCACAGCTACCAGAATCTGGTTTCGACAGCTTCGCAGGTTACAAAGCCTGAAGCATGCAGTGCAGGCAGCTAGCCAAACACCCTCAGCCATCACCTACAGACTTGAGCTGTGGGAGGCGATCAAGCGCTCTTCGGGCTTTTGCCCCAACTTCCCACAATGGTGGGGTGAACAACAACATGCGGTCCATGGAGTACCAGAGATTTTGCCGGTCACTGTTCCTGAAGAATCGGCCATTGCCACAGCCATCTATGACAGCTTCCTTCTTCACTTCCGAGCTTTTGAGGCATGGCACCTCAATGAGCGTTCCCAGAGCTTGAAGTTGAAGTATGCGGGCTCACTGGAAGCAGTCTACATGGATATGCGCAAAGACCCAAGACCGGGCATTGAGAACATCTGGAAAGAGAATGTCTACACCATTTTGGATGTGGATTATCAGGGCCTTAATTCATTTAGACAAACCTGTACAGACCAATTTTGATCATGTCTGGTATCATGGCCAACATGCTTTTGCCATCACTGCAGTTTCTGGAGATGTTTGCACAGTTTTATCTACGGAGAACATTGCACCAGGTGATGAGCTTGTACAACGTGTTTTCTTGACGGATACCAATGACATCCTTCAAGCTTTTTCTGAGCACTGGAAACCTAGATGGAGCAATTTAGCCAGCATTTCTGAAGGTGATTGGCACCGTATCATGCAGTTCGTTCAGCACTACATGCCTTCTCATGCCTTCACATGTGAACCTTTGCAAATTACAACTTGGCAGCAAGTAGTCAAGAAGTTCAAACAGAAGGCGGCACGAGGGCCTGATGGTTTTTCCAAAGATGATCTGAAGAACATGCCGGAAAGCCACACCTCCTTTTTGTTGGCGCTGCTCCACTCCATTGAAACCACTGACACACCATGGCCACAGCAACTTGCGTTTGGTACAGTGATTGGTCTTAGCAAGGTGGAAAATGCACATGAGGAGAACCAATTTAGACCAATCACATTGTTTTCCACTATTTATCGTACCTGGTCACGTTTGAGAACCAGGGAGCTGATCAGACAGCTTGCTGAAGTCATGCCGCCAGAAGCACTTGGCTTCCTACCACATCGAGAAACAACAGAGATATGGCTGGTGCTCCAGGCTCATATCGAGCTCATGTTGCAACTGCGTCAAGACTATGCAGGGCTCTCTACAGACTTGAAGAAAGCCTTCAATCACATTGGTAGAAGCCAGGTATTCATGACTGCGGAGCATCTTGGACTCCCTCTTCAGCTTTTACAACCATGGCGAAAATTTTTGGGGCAATTTGTCCGGAGATTTGATATTCATGGATGTCTCGGAGAAGAGATGTCATCAACCTCAGGATTTCCTGAGGGATGTCCGCTTTCAATTGTGGCTATGCTCCAAGTTAACTGGTGTTATCATGTCTACATGAGAGCTTTCTGTCCAAAAGTCAACGCATACTCTTTCGTTGACAACCTGACCTTGGCGACCAAAGAAGCCGTTTTACTGGTACAAGCCTATTTTGCTTTGCGTACAGTTTGCCTTTTGTTTGGCCTTGACTGATGATGAGAAAACCTTCGTTTGGGCTCTAACAAAGACTATGCGCGCAAGCCTTTCTCTTTTAGGTTTCCCATGTCTGAGTGATGCCAGTGAACTTGGGGGTGCCATGACTTTTGGGATTTCACGAAGAACTCGAATCCTCAAACAACGTGGTCATGTTTTGGTGACACGCTGGCAGAAGCTGAAGCGATCCTTCGCTCCTGGGCCACAAAAACTCTCCATGTTGCCAAAGATTTTCTGGCCGCAAGCTTGGCATGCTCGGCGATCTGTTTGGTTGCTGACAGCTACGCACAAGAACTTCGGCGAGAAGCAGTTAAGGCTTTACGGCTGAATGGGGCTGGGTCCAACCCCTTACTGCGACTTTCTTTGGCAGATGACATGCAGGCTGATCCTGGCTTTTATCAAGTCCATGTTTGTTTGGCGACTTTTCGAAGAATGCTCCACAAATGCCCAGACCTACTGCCGATGTGGCAAACTTGGATGGATGGATATCAGGGACGTTTGATTCCGGGGCCTTTCTCACGGCTCATTCAATGTCTTGCCTTGGTGGGTTGGGCGGTGGACATGCCACCTTTTTTCCGAGATCATGAAGGTCATTGCTGGAACCTCAAGATGGTGGATAACAAAACTTTGAAACTTCTTTTGGAAGATGCATGGCTTCAATACGTTGCTTCTCAGGTGCGACACCGCACAATGAAGGGGCTTGTTGGCCTTGAGGGCTTCTTAACCAAACTGGATTGCAAAACTATGACTGCCTTGGACAGAGCACGTATTTCAGCACTTCATTCTGGGGCCTTCATGACCAACTTTGAGCATGCGAAGTTTGACATTGAGAAGTCTCCGATGTGTGCACTGTGTCATTGCGAAGATGATCGTGAACACTGGCTTAGATGTCCCAGATACCAGGCACTTCGCAATGACATCCCAGATTGGTGCCCAGATAACTTGGAATTGCCATCTTGCACTTTGCACCATCTGCTAGTGCCCAGACAGGAGATTTTGGTGAAATGGCGTCAGATTTTGCTTGACACCACCAAACATGGCCATGTTTTTAGTTTTCTTCCCCCGAAGTTTGGGTACCACCACCTTTTTCTTGACGGGTCCTGTTTCAATGATGAATACCCAATGTTGAATTTGGCAGCATGGGGGGTGATCAACGCCACGATGGGCGACATTGTCACGGCTGCTCCTCTGGCGGGTCTGGCACAATCCATTGACAGGGCAGAGCTGATGGCCGTGGTGGCCAGTCTCCAATGGGCTGCGGGCACAGAGCTTGGCCTTTGCCTCTGGTCGGACTCACTTTCCACCGTCAACACGATGGAGTATGTGTTGCAACATGGGGCTCTTCCAGATGGGATAGAAAATTTGGATCTGTGGCAGCAAGTTTTTGCTCTACTACATGATCGAGCAGGGCTGAACACCGACGTTAGATGGATTCCTTCACATCTCTCGAAGGAGCTGTGCGAAGATCCTTATGAAGAGTGGGTTGCTCACTGGAATGATGAGGTGGACAAATTGGCAGTTTACACCAACAGAAACCGACCCAAGGCATTGTGGAAATGCTATGATGCTGCAAGCTCGGCTCTGAATGGATGGGCGAAGCGACTTCGACAGCTTCGAGCATTCTACTTCAAAGTGGCAGAAATGGAAGTTCCAAACACAGCAGACTTGGAGGAATGCGAGAGCATCAAGTCATCAGACGATGATGAGATGTTATGGCTATCATGGGAAGGCCATCTACCGGTTTCCTGGCAAGTTCAGTGTCTACATGGACATTTCAAAGTTCCCGGTGCTTTTTTGACAGAGATCATTCACTGGATCTGCGCTGCAGAACGTCTCGATGGCGCAGTGAGGGTAGTGAGCGACTTAGAATTAGTTTTTGCACTGCTCCTAGACAAGGAGGTTTCATTTCCTTTTTCAGTGGATGGTACGTTGGCTTTACACATGCGCAGACCTGATGACATGTTCCAACGACCCACAGTAGCTATGATGCTAAGGCCCTTGCAACATGCAATGCATAGTATTCATAGGCTTTTTTCTTTCGTGATCAGAACTCCAGCGCTCCCCAATCCTGAACTTGGGGTGTACATGAAATATGAAGGCACACGATTGCGAGTGCCAAATGAGCTCTGGGGTCTTTTGAGATCACGTGCGCAGCTTTTCACATCCAAGAGGGCTGTGAGGAAATCCCAGGACCTGGCGCGGCCTGCGCCATGAAGACAGGACTGTTGCTGCCGCACTGCTTTGCCGTGTGCAGCAACTGCAAACCGTCCGAGCTATAGATGGCCCATAGAAATCGATGATTTTCCCATTAAAACGTCCATTTACGGGATTTTCCATGGCTATGTTAGTCATAACCAGAGGGTATCTCGAATCATTTGATGGCGCATTTCAGAATGCGTTGAATGGAGAATCATGGAGAAAGTGCCGTGGCTGACCGCAATTGCAGTAGATATATGTAGAATTCTGTAGATATGTAGGTTAATCTATGGTTAATCATTGGAATACCAATATAACTGAGATATCTACCATGATTTTCCATAGTTATGTTAAATTACCAGAGGGTATTATATCTGGTTGGTGGTTTAGAACATGATTTTTATATATTTTTATGACTTTCCCATCATATTGGGAATAATCAATCATCCCAACTGACTAATAACTCCATCATTTTTCAGAGGGGTAGGGCTCAACCACCAAGCAGTTGTTCTCGCTAGACTCAGGGATCATCCCTGTGCGGTTTGGCCGGAATCCAAACGTTTGTTGGCGACAGGTCGACATGCCTGTTTTGGGGATGACCATCCCCCGTTGCATGGGTATTATGCACATATATTTAATATATAGATAGATAGATAGATAGATATATGTATGCATACATAATCTGTGTGTGCCTGTATCATCCAACTTTCTTATTTGACCATGGCACATCTCTTCGTCCTCTTTCCCGGGCAAAGCCCGGGGTGCGTTTGTTTTCAGTCCCGGACCTTCCCAAGGACTTCACATCGAAGAGTCCAAACAGCAGCCTGGCTTTGTCATGTTTTTTTTTTATCCCTTCAAAATGGCTATGGATCAATACCTATTAATACCATTTTTAGGGGGATGAACATCCATTTACCAGCTATTTTGATGTGAACAAAAGGGGTACAAGGTTTTGACACACTGCCAAATCCTGCAAAATCCCCATGTCTCTTATTGCAATTTTCCACTTTCAACATGGAAGTTTCCTAAAATGGGGGTGCCTCCTTAAATCATCCAATCATTGTACTGTAACAGGATCTTCCACTATAAACCATCCATTGTGGTGTATCATGGTGTATCCTATGGAAACCTCCAAACATTGCTAGAAATGGTTGGATTTTCACCTGGCCCTGGTGCATCGAAGTGCCCAGGTACTCACCAAGGCAGGCCTCAACCTTGTTCTACAAAACCTCCCAGCTTCTGTATGACGGTCCCTGGGCGATACCTGCCATGTGTAGATCAGTTTGGCAAGCCATGGCTGATCATGGCTGATCCTCTGGTTATGACTAACAGTTCGCCATGGAAAATCCCGTAAATGGAGGTTTCTAGCTGGGAAAATCATCTATGACTATGGGCCATTTTCCATGGCTATGTTAAATAACCTGAGGGTATATTATATATTAATTCACTGCGGGATACGTAGTCAAGTAGTTCTGGGAATTTGTGGGAAAAGCAGAGGCACATGCTATCCAGAACCCTCAAATGGTAGCAGCTTGATGTGCAAGCCGGAGTTTCATGCCTCTGGCTGGTGCTTTCAGGTATTTCATGATATTTATTAGTTTCCATCCCCATTGGCACCTACGACCATCACATGAATCTATTTTTTGCGCAGGAACTTCACAATGTACACCCCCTTAATTTAACCATATGACGTCATAGAACAAAGAAAAGGCTATATCCACCAGGAAACTCATTTTGTGGAAACAATTCTTTTCGTGTTTCCGGGTTCCATGTTACCCTCCGGTCAGCGTTTACATGTCAAAAACCCACCATTCATAGTAGATCTATTGTAGATGTCATTTTTTGAAGCGGGTTTTTCCAAGGGTTTTGCCACAAATTTTTGTTTCCCCCAGCATGCCTGTAGATCATCTGTTTGGAACGGGTTTTTGAAAACCCCATGGCTTTTCCAGAAACGTTTCGCCTAGGCAACATGGTGTGGGAGCGGCAAGATCGTCCCTTGGCATTACATGCCCATCATGCCCACACACACACACGTCACTTATGTATATGTATATAATGTACTGTATATATATATATGTTTGCATAGTATCAACATATATATGTTTATATATTATTTTTGTTCATCTAATTCTGTTTGCATATGTAGATAATGACGTATACATATGCTCAATGCATATGCACCAATGTGGTGAAGGCGCATGAGGTCGCAGGGTAAGCTCAGGGTAGTTGACTACCTACCTCTTTTTATGGCAATGAACAATATCGGAATTTAATGGAAAAGTATGGGCTTCTCATTTGTAAATTATAACTTTGTGATTTTCCACTGGCAGCGTAGAATACTTGAGGGCACGCAGTTGCAACAGTGTGTAAGCTACGAATGACACACCATAGCAACGTGCTTGTTTGGGTGTCCTCGCCTGGTAGCGAGTTGTCAGTTTATGTGCACCCTTTCCTATTATGGATGGCAAGTATGTTTGCCAGAAAGATATGACATGGCAAACATGTCCATTTCATGGCACGATCATATATCATATATCAATATCAATATATATATATATATATATATATTATGTATATTCATGTATCATTTATCATACATCATATGTCATACAGAATATATGCATGTCATGTCGATCATATGGACTTGTCTGAAACTCAGCTATCAAACTTGTCCTCAATTTTGCCAGTGGTGATTTGAGCCGATGTTCAGTGGTGGTTTTGCCACACATCCCGGCACTGGTCAGGTCATTTTTGGACCCCATAAACATCAGAAACCATCCCATTAATCATAGAATGGGGGTCATCATAGACATCATCCCAGCCAAAAGGGCATACCGGCATACCCAATTTCATAATATTTCATAAAGCTTTATTTGGGGATGGTTTATTGTTGCTTTTTACCTCATGAATCATGACATGGGTTCCACAAAATTCGGATCCCAAAGGGGATCCTATTGGTAAAGATATCACAAATATCACCTCCCTTAATCCTTATGAATCTGAGGTTGGATGAGGTTGGTGGATGTTGCACCAACTCTTAGCCGCTTCCTGCCAGCCTTGCAGGTCAGATTTGCGATGAGATGGGATACCGCGGCCGCACCCACGACGTCTACTTGTCCGAGTGTGACGTGGCTGCAAGTTGCGCAGCATTGCGCAGCGATTCCCGGGGGTTCCTGTAGATTTCCCTGAAGTCCACTGCGGTGCTGAACGTGAAGCTAAAGGTTTCTTCCAGATGATCCTATGGTCACTTCTCTTCTCGCTGATTTTTGCAGTAGAGAAAAAGTATATGCCTTTGGTGAGATTCAGAAAATATAATGACTGAAGCCTGAAGCCCAGGCATTTTCCATAGTTTTTATTTTGTGTCTCCCTATATTTGTGAGAGTTACATTGGTTGAAGAACACCAGTTGAAAGCGGGACGGGCCCTTGGTAACATGCTGGAACAGAGCCACGTGTTCGCCGAGGTGGCCAGTTGCTCTTTTGCCGCTCAGGCCGCTTGTGCCGGGTCGCAGATTGACTTCACCGTGACTTCACAGGTGGTGACTTTTGAAGTCTTGATCTGATTTAAAGATATTTAAGGTATACCCATAGGATCCATGGTGCTGGTATATATGCTAACATGACTGGGGTATATTGATGGGATCCATGTTACCATATATAATCATATATAGCATACATGGATCCTATGGGATATTGAAGGATTTTATCAGGACATTTTTCAAGGGTTTTTGAAGCAGCTTTTTGCACTGCTTCGGACTGGTTCCCGTGGTTCCATCATGTAGGAATCCCAGTTCCCAGGATTCCTACGACGCAGAGGCGTCCCAGAATACGAGCCGACCAAGGCGGGCCTGGGCGGCGTGGCGGTTGGTGAGAAGATTTCGGCGATTTTACGACTTTTTAGCTGGTTGGTGGTATACCTACCCTCTGAACAATATTAGAGTCAATTGGGATTATCCCATATATGACATGGATTGTCGTGGAAAAAATGTTTGAAACCACCAAGCAGCCAAGGTGCCACATTATTAATGGCATATTATTGTGGCATGTGGCCTTGTGTTCACCCACTTTTTCCCAGGATGGTGCCGGTCACTGCGAGTAGCCCTAGTTGTCGGCACCATTTCAATCCTGGATTGTCCATGAAAACCAGCGATTCCTCAAAAACAGATCGTTTTCATGGAAATGTCCTTAAAATATGTTTTTTTTTGATGATCATGAATGTGACCTAGCTTGGAAATTGCAGAGGCTAAACATATCTAAACATCATATGATGGCCATGAGTTTCGATAGCCTACCGCGAAAGGAGGTAGTTGAATGTAGTTGAAATATCACCCCGGAAAAATAGTATATGTACATCTGACTTTCTCGTTTGTTGAGATAGCGATGGAGGGAGAGAGAGAGAGAGATCTGACTTTCTCATGCAAGACAGGGTTAAACTGGCCTGTATTTACCCAATGATAGGTATATCAGTATCCTCATTGCGCTCCGTAAACTGGATATCGTAGATCCATGTATGGATCATTTTCTCATCAATACTCAGTAAGAATGCTGGTTTCCCATTATCCTTACTTGGAACTCCCCACCTGGTTGATTCGTACTTGGAAGTGCGATTCCAGTTATAAGTGGATAACCAGAATTATATCCCAACTTATCCCAACTTATCCCAACTTCTTGGGGTTTTTAGTTATGGTTATACCCTTTTGTAATCTCAACTGAAGCCCTTGATATATCAAGCCCTTGACAGAGGCCATCCCAACCAGGGTCCCCCTGAGGCCATCCAGATCCAACATCTTCTCCAGAAGCGCGGCTTTCGTTGAGATATGGAGGTGTCCATCAATGTGGGGCTACCAGCTACCCCCATTCATCCATGAAAAAAGCCATGGCGCCATGCCATTATAAAGCACCCATTTTCGGGTACCCATATTTTAGGAAACCCCCATATTGGAATTAGCATCCGGAAGCAGTTTCTACAGACAATCCCAATCCGCCAGCCGATGATTCAGCTGTCCAGGACCCTCGAGGGCTGTCATCATTTTCCGCATTTGAATGAATTCCAATTTTGGTGGCTATAAACCCAATTTTCAGGCAAACCCATGTGTATATACAGTATATATATATATATGAATCAATAAATATATGGTTATATAAGCTATATATATATAATATAATCTATACATAATTATTTTGTTTTACTTTGTTTTTCACTTTAGTCAGGTGCCAACCGGACCCCCGCTTCCTCACACCTTGTGCGTTTCCACTCCGGGCGTTTCCCCCCAAGAAAACGACGCCGTGCGCAGCGGCAGCATCGCTCAAAAACTCGGAGCGTCTCCAGTCGTCGGCGTGACGTTTTTTCGACCCCAGGGGACCTCACCGTGCAGATGACCCCGAAGTTGGGGAACCACTGGTTATGGTGGTTACGTTTTGATATGTTATTTTTTGGTGTTAAGTACCCCGGATAGTGCGAATCCAATAACTTCCTGGCATGGCTATTGCGATGTCATTATGTCTTTGGGTCGCTGTCGTTGATCGAAATGGTATAGATGGGTGCGGGTGCAGCCGCAGTGGATAGGAATGCTAGTTCAGGAATGGTATGGGAATGCTGCTAAATCATTCAGGAGACTCAGCAACATTCATTCCTTGATTCTTTTTTCAAGGATGTTCATGTATACCTACACACACACACATACTGTATATATATATATATATACATACATAAATACACAGAGAGAGAGAGAGATATATTCATATATATATATACACACATACACACCGTTTTTTGACTCACCAGGGTCCCAGCTGGAACTGCAAAGCAACACGGTGAGTCCCGGGCGTTGAGAAACCTCCATACAGCGCGCAGAAGCTTTGCCAAACCAGGCTCAGGCGGCAGAAAAACTCTGTCCATCAGGATGCTGGATCAACCAGTAGTAGGAACATACATGGACATTAGATGACATTAGTTACACGGAGAAATCATTATATTTATCAACTTCACGTCAACTTTCTTTCCGTTTTGGGAAGATTTTGCCGAAGACCCGGGGAACTGGATAAAACAACTGCAACTGGGTCATTCTCAGAGACCTCGCAGGACAACATTAGTGATTTTTGAAACATTTTGAGGAACTATCGAATCAATTATCGACTGAATCAGGTTGGGGATTGATATCATAATAAATCATTGTATATACAGTATATATATATGCGATTATATGCGTAATGAAACCCACCCATCTTACAAAGCTCCAAAGCGGGATTCTCAATCTCCGTTTTCGCCTGGGTTCTGGCACTGGATTTCTCACCAGCTGTGGAACTTGCGCAGCTGGCAACTTGCCAAAACAGCGGTGCGGAGACGTGGTGCCTTGCAGATGTGAAAAGTCGTGCGGTTGAGGGATCTTTCACTCACCAAAACTTCTGGTTCCCAGGAAACTCTCGGAGAGAATCCAAGATTTTAAGGATGTTCCCATATTTCCCAGTAAGAATGGAGGTTTCAAAGTTCCAGGTTCATTATCAGACTGGACCCACCAGAGATCCTGTCTTTCTGGAGTCTTGTGGAATTTGGTCAGCTAGCTGCACCCATCTGCACCCCATGTTAAACGTTTGCAGATTTTGCAGGTTCTTGCCCCATTATCCCATTACCATCCCTCAAATTATACGTATTCCTTGCGGAAACATCGTGTTGGAAGATGACTTCCATTGAACATGTTTCTTTTTTAAGATTCATCGGAGGGTGTATTTATCTTATACCAGATGGGGCCCAGCAGGTTTAAGTTAGTTTACAAACCCACATCCGCATGCATCCGCCATAAGCTATAGGAGTTGGACACCAACTTAGCTATCATGAATTGGCTATAAATCCCATTGAATCATATTGAATCCCCAATGTTTGTTGGTTACCCTCTGGTAATGTGTTACTTGCAGCTATTGAAAATTGCCCATAGAAATAGTTGATTTACCGAACTTAAAGATGGTGACTTTCCATAGCTATGTTCGTTTACCAGAGGGTAAATCATCATTTTCCTACGGTTTCTTCCTTTTGGCCCAACAATTTATCATGATGACTGTCTCGTTTTCGCCTTGTTTGATCTCGGGGGGAATGTGCTTCAGCCAGGTGCTAGCAATGACCCCAATCAGGCAGTGGAGGGTTTTGGGCATGATGACCCCAATGTTACCCTCTGGTAAACTAACATAGCTATGGAATGTCACCATCTTTAAGTTCGGTAAATCAACATAAATCAACTATTTCTATGGGCATGGCTTCAATAGCTACAAGTAACACATTACCAGAGGGTATCTTCTTTGGATGATGATGGATGGAAATCTCATGTTGAAGTTCCCGTGTTGGTCCTAAATCCCCCGAGACTTGTAGTGTGCTCCTTGACCAAACTTGTCATGGAAAGCTTGCTCAACTTCAAGGCAAGCTTGTGGGCAAACATTTGATGATGGGTCCATGAAGGGCCCCATGGTATAGCAAGAAATAGTTGGATCGCCATAGATCATATATCAACAATATCTCAACTATTGTTCTGAGAATATCCAGAAACTGGTTGGTGGTTTGGAACATGAATTTTATTTTCCATAATATATGGGATGTCATCCTTCCCATTGACGAACTCATATTTTTCAAGATGTTTAAAACCACCAACCAGATTTGATGTATTCTTCTTTAAGGATATATCATGGTATGCCAACAAATCTAATTTTGCTGCAGCCAAATGAAACTGGTGAGCCTAAAGAGCCTGGACTTGCCAACATGGCAGCAGCATTTCTCCGCCCCTCGTTGGTTTGTTTCACTTCTCACCAGTTAAGGTACACATGGAATTTTCAAAGGTTTTCAAACATTTAACTTCATTCAACATCAATCATTTAACTTCATTCAACATCAATCATTTAACTTCATTCAACATCAATGTGGGATGGTATGTTCATATGCTTTTCCTGCTAGTGATGAATCGATTCCTCGTTATCGGAATGATCCATCACAGTGCTAGGCGGCGACCAGACAAAAGAACTATGCCAAGGCAGCGTCGGAAACGTGCCGGAGAGAAATTCAAACCCAACTCCTTGGGTTCTCAACCCAAATTGGGTTCTCATACATACATATACACACTGTTTACATACATACATACCATTACATACCATGACATGACATTCCATTACATTACATACCATTACATACCATTACATTACATACATACATATAATAGTCGCCGCTTTGATGCCTCAGTGAACCATTACAACTTATGGAGGTTACCCCGAAACGAGCGGTTTCAATCCCCCATTTTGCTCGCTGATCCGAACGGATCATCGGAGAGAGGGAGGAAAACATCATATCTTCACGCTGTATCAAATTAAATTATTTACCCTCTAGTGAACTAACATAGCAATGGAAAATCACCATTTTTCATGGGAAAATCGACTATAAATGGCCATTTTCCATTGCTATGTTAGTTCACCAGAGGGTAATTAAATGCAGTGTTTTTTGCTTGCGTATGTATACATATGTATACTGTTATATACTGTTATGAAATGGGTATATTTGGTTCGCAGGCTGCCACGTGATTCATGGATATTATTGATGTCATTGTTCCACGAGCTGAGACTGGAACCACTGGTAGGTGAATTATCTCACCTCTGGCCTCTGGTTGTTTAACATAGCTACTGCACTAAAAATCATTTTATAAAAATCCATGTTCCATAGCTATTATATGCTATTATCTTAAATCACCAGAGGGTAGATACTAAAGTCATCTAAAGTCAAACTGACCTCTTTCCCCAAAAAAAAGCACATAACATTGAACCGAGAAGCACGCAGTCGCTGGTTTCCCTGCAAGTTGAGGATGATGTGGCCACGCTCCACTTCTTCACATTTCATGGCCGTTCTTTTTCCCGCATGGCATGTTACTTCATCGTGTTCGGTGCTTTCAGTCTGTGCTTCCCCAATGTGACGAGTGGAAAATGGTGGACAGATGTGAAAACCATCATCTGGTAATTCAATAGAGCTATAGAAAATCACCATGCTATTACCCTCTGGTAAATAAACTTGTTGACCCTGAAAAGTACCAATTTTTAATGGAAACTAATCTTCCAAGTCCTATTTGCCAGGGTCTATGTTAATTTACCAGAGGGTAATAGGCAAACCATCTATTTCTATGGGCCATCTATACCATAGCTTTTTGTATGTTTACCAGAGGCTACCGTATTACTCTTACCTTCATGTTCTTACCAGGCCGGTCCCTTTATCGGTAGGGCCCCTTGGATCCCTTTGATGTTAACCCTTCATGAACAATTCCCGGTGAGCTATGTTAAGCCCACGCGATATTTGATATATTTGATATTGGCACAGATATTGGCACATCTTCCAATTGATTTTCAGATCGTGTTCATGGAATCTTTCCATTCTGAGGGACCATATGAGGGGTTTCGTTATAATTGGGGGATGAGGTGATCATTTTCTCATTGGTGTTTGGAGTAGGTAAGCTTCTCAAATGTTATCCATTTAATCATTTAACTATGCTACTTGCCTTATGCTTTGACAATGTTTAACATTGTTTAATCCATGCCATTGATGCATCAGAGGGACGGTCATGGATCCAATCCTCGCCAGTAAAGCGGGGCTGACCGTCTCATCATTTCAGCCATAAATCCCACATATCCCAGCTGGATTTCCGTAGTGACCTCACCGTGACGTCACTGGAATGATGGTTGCGTTTGGGGGAAGCATACCCAAATTCCAATAGGAATGATCATAATTGAACCAATTAGTGATGAAATGGATGACTTGATGGTTTATACCGCTCATTTATGGTAAAAAAAAATGGGA